AAAAAAAATGTATGATACTTGCATGTTTTGTTCAGCGAGATAATCTTCACATGTGATAACACCACTTTTATGATTTTAGAAGCGTGAATACAATCAGCAGAAGTAAAAATCATAAACAGGCTATAAAGGACCGACATCACGGCCACATGACTTGGAGGACGAGTGTTCTAGTGAGGACACTTTGTAGTCTCAGTCAGCTGCCTTATTAAACACATACAATCTCTGAAGCTTGTGTTAACCGCAGACCTTCTGTCAGGCATCTATAGAAAATCCAATTTACTTTGAGACGAGTGCAAAAACATCTTAAATTTAGGATTTAAGGACTCATTCCTGCAGTACTCCAGAAGCGTGTGTGTTTGCAGACAAAGGTTATAGCCCGACTTGTATGTTGTTTTTGTGGATGATGATAATGATGTATTTTTATAGCATCATATCTTTTATCTATTGTTTGTTTTATTAAATTGATAAAAGTACCACAGATTTTCTTTCTATTCCCTGACCGTCCTGCTTTATTTATCATAATGAACTCTCCTTGCCCGTGGTACACAAACACAGCTGTGGGGCTTTAAATGGACGGGCTCCCTCATACGTCTCATTTCCCCATTAACTCCATCCTCCTTTACGTTGTATTCATGCCAGTGTAACAGCCACAGGATTGGGGTAGCTACCATTACCTCAACAAGGGGAAGCAGTCAGTGATCTGAGCACCCAGCTGGGGAAACTATGGGATGTGGGTGTGCAGTGTGTGTGGGTGTGCAGTTTGCAGTGTTTGTGGGTGTGCAGTGGGAGATTATTGCAGTAAAGTGTGTTGTTGTCATTTTAACATTATGATGCGAGTGTGTACTTTTCTTTCTCTGGGTAATTTTCTTTCTCTTTAAATAAACTGAAGTTGACGCACAATCGCAGAACAACAAGAATGCAAACTTCCTACTTCTACTCACCCTGAGTTCTAGTTATGTATATTTACATAGAGGAAGTCTTATTAGGTAGTGGCGTAGGAAATGCTGATGAATTTGTGAAGACATTAGTCGTGTCTGTCAAAGTAGAAAACTCAGTAAATGAGTAAAGATAGACGTGTTCGGCTTGCTTTTTTGCAGGAATAACCACTCACAGAGAGACACTGAGCCGCAGTCCGCCTCTCTGCGGTCAATCAGCTGTTTTGCTAGCGGTGGACGAGAGGGAGGCTTTTACTCTCCATGTTGTCCTTTAGTTACTGTGTTGATGTTGCAACTGCTGCCAACTATCAGCAGAAGGCTACAAGTCACCAGTGTCCCCGCTGTGTCCAGCAGAGACGAGATCTCAGTCAGTGTGTTTGTAACAAAACACAATGAGGGCCATGATCGTAATCCGAGGTTATCCGGCTTAAAGGTCCACAGAGTTTTTACTCTGTCATCATATTCTTATTTTGGTTGCAGCGACAGCTCAGAAGACATTGGTTGGATGTTAGAAAAATTTACTCGAGGCCGAAGTAAAAATCATTAAACAGGACATTTATTCTTGCAAGAAGGAGACAGAGTTGATTCACAAACAGGTTGTGCATCAAGGATGCTCAGAGGTCTGTCTCCGAGTTCCTGACATATATACTTTAGAAAACAGGCGAGTACTGTTGCACAGAATAATTTGCATATGTTCTGGACACTTACAGATAACACACTTTTGGACAATTCGTTCTGTTAAAGGGTCACATTATCCTATTCGGAAGACGTCATGGTTGCAAATCAACCTACGTATATACTGACGTGAACACAACAGATTTACTATCTTCCCTTGATGTCCGGTCATAGGTAAACAAACAGATGAGATAGCCATTAAGAAAGACAACTAAGACTCTTAATGAAGAACACAGCTGAGAAAGCTTGTGTGAAGATTGGTTCATACATGGACACACACTTTATGGAACCAGCTGCTTAGATTACAGTGGCTAAACAAAAACATTATTTAAGTTTCAAGTTGGATTTCATTATTTTTTCAGCTACTGTATCATTACTTATCCACTACAAAACAATCGTGTGAAATGGCAGTGAGCCGCAGTCATATTCAAACAATGCACACCTGCACCTTTTGGCTGAATGTTACTGTATTCCCTTCAGACTGACTCAGTGAGTCACTTTAAACCACGATTGTGGTGCATCTGAATGATCAGTGCCTGCTATCAAACCAATATTAATCACGACGATGGATAACAGAATTGGTTTATTGCCGCAAGAGTAACTTAGTAACTGTATCAAGCTGACCAACAGCCCAGCTTTTCAAAATAAACTTCCATCTCCACAGGAAACTACTCAGTTGGGTTTAGGAAAAGATTGTCGTTTGGGTTCAAATAACCACAGATTTGCCGTGGTTGGTCACGGAAAGAGTGCTTGCCGAAAATGTTTTTTGTGTCAGTGAGAGCCCTGAGTTACGGTTCATTTGTTCTAGGCTGTCGTCATTTAACCCCTCAGCGTCCACTCATCTGCAGACGTTAAACCCGGGTTCAAGAGAACAGGGACACATCTGCATCGTGAAGCGGAGAAATAACCATGTTGCTCAATACTTTGGAGTTCGATTTTTTGCACATTAAGAGAATAGATGTAGCATCAAGGGAATGTTCTTTAAAAGTGGTGTGTGTGTGTGTGTGTGTGTGTGTGTGTGTGTGTGTGTGTGTGT